CGGGGACAGGGTGGAGGGAGAGGGAGGGAGGGAGACGGGGGTCAGGTGGTGGAGAGGGAGGGAGGGGGTGATGCAGCTGCGGGTGATGGGCCGATGGGGTGGGGGAGTAGTTGGAGGGGAACCCCCAGGGTGCCATGAGGGCCACTCTCTCTCTGAGCCACAGCCTGGAATACAGGCCAGCTGGGGTCAGGGAATCTTTCCCCACCCCATGGCAGGCTGGCCCAGGGAAGGGGATGAACCAGGGACTTTCTGTGAGCTCCACATCCCAGAATCTTCAAACGAATGGAATTGGAGAGATTTGAACTGGGATTTCCAAAAGCTTGGATGACTCACCATCGCCCCAGCACAACCCGGGATCAAAACCCTTCCTCCTGACCCGATCTCAGAATCCCCTGGCTTTCGGAGAGGGCTTTCTCTCCAGGGTGGGGGGCCCGCCTTCCCCCTTGGATTCCAGAACTGGAGGTGCGCCACCCCCCGTAGGGCTGATGGAGGATGGCCGAGAACAGATTAGGAGAAGGAAGGGGTGCTCTCCATACCCCCTCCAGCCTTGAGATACCAGCCCCTTGGCCCCAAAGCTCTGGTAGGAAGTTAACGGAAGCAGGTAAGGTACGCACCTGATGTCGGGGTAGCTCCGGATGAGAGTCTCCAGGTGCCGCTGGATGTCATCTTTGTAAGTCTCGCCCAGGATCTCGGCCACGCACTGGATGGCTTGGTCCAACCATGTGGCCTCGGAACCCTTCGAGACAGAACTGCCACCTGCCCCAGGAGCCCTCTCCCCACCCTTGCTCCAACTGCTGCAGGAGCACCAGGTCAGCGCAGTGTCAGCCCTCCCGCAGCGTCAGCCCTCCCGCAGCGTCAGCCCTCCCGCAGCGTCAGCCCTCCCGCAGCGTCAGCCCTCCCGCAGTCACTTCAGCTCGGTGCTGGGACTGCCTCCCCCAAAACAGAACAGGAGCGTGCCTGGGCACCCAGGGCTCGTGGGCCACACAGCATTCATCTCCCCTCCCATCCCATCCTGCTCGGACAGGAAAACCGAGGCCAGCCTGAGCGTGCTGCTGCTGGGGGCAGACAAGGGGTATGCAGGGCGCTGGTGCCCCCACTCTGAGGGCTCTGGCCTGAGGTGGGGAACACCTCCCACAGACCCTGACCACGAGATGGGGCTGTGACCTTCGCCCCTTCCCTGCAGCCCTGCAAACTGTATGCAAATGTCTGCAATGTGCCACCCTCCCACCTGGTTCCCCCCACCCCCCAGCCCCACAGGTGCCCCAGTCCCTGTTTCACCTGATCCAGCGTCAGGAGAACCACTCCCGCCAAAAGCCCTTCTGGTGCTATGGCCCTAGTCACTGCCACCCCTCCCCACACAGAGGCGAGCACCGAGGGGCAGTCAGATGTCACCCCTACCAGGCCCTGGAAGGTGTCGCTGATGGCCTGGGCATCCAGGCTCATCTTCTGGGAGCCACGCATGCGCTCCATGGCCCAGAACCGCTTCCGTGGCTTCAGCGCCTGTGCCAGGTACTCGCGGACCACGAACCGGTGCACCTCCTGCAGAGTCTCCTGGGCGACCCAGGGTCAGGGTCAGGGTCAGAGTCAACAGCCCCAACCATGGGCACAGCCCTGCCAGGGCCCTCCCCCTTGTGGTACCTGTGCCCGTGGCTGGGCCACACGCTGGAGATGACCGGTGAACCTCACTACCTTGTCCATGAGGGGACGCAGCCAGTCCTGCGTCAGCCAGTCCCTGGTGCACACAACCCTGAAGAGCGGCTGGGGAAAGAGGGGCTGGGAGTCTGCAAATGTGCACTACCCCCCCAACCTAACCCCTCCCTCGAAGCCCAGTGTGCCACTCCTGACCCCTTCCCTCCTGGGTTTGGGGTGCCATTCCCCCTCCAAGCCACAGGTTATATCAGGAGCCCTTTCCCAGAATGCCTCTCCCGGGCCCCATGATCCAGGGGCAGGGTTTGTCCAGTCAGATCTGCTCAGGGTGTGCCCCGGGGAAGCCTTGAGGGACTGGGTGAGGACCCTGGGCCTGGATCCGTGGACCCACCATCCCAGGCTTCGGGGGTGACCACTAAGAGCTGGAGACTGAAGTGAGAAGGCAGGTGTCTCCCAGCCACCCCTGCCCAGCTGGGACCTCACCTGGGTCCCCTGCCCACTACCCTACACACACCCATGAGCTGGCCCCTGGAATAAATGAACGCTGTGACCTGGGCCTCCAGGCTCTAGGAAAAAGGGGGTACCTCCTGGGCATGGGAAGTGGGGAGAGAGGGCCTGTCATAGTCACCTGCAACTCACGCTGCAAGCCCTGAAGCAGGTGCTTCTGGAAGCTGCAGGTGGCCGCCACCAGGGGCTTCTCCAGCTCCTCTTGAGTTCCTGGGAACCTAGAGAGAATACTGGTCCTGCGGAGTGGCCAGGACCAGCGATGAGTGGGCAAGGGAGACCAGGCTGGGGAACAGGGCCAGGCGCACAGCTCCACTCACTGAGACTACAATGCGAAGGGCAGCCCGTGGGGCTCCCCAGTGTAGCTGCCTGCAAGCAGAGTCAAGTGGGGGACAGCACAGAAGCCCAGGGAGCCACTCACAGAGGGGTGGGTCAGGGGCAGGTGACCCTTTCCCCTCTGGCAGCTCTGGGACAGACCTTCCACCCCTCTTGGTAATAAACAGTGCGGCATAGCCATGCCTGGAACACACCCTACCTTGAGCCTCATAACTGCTCCCTGAAAGTGACAACATCCCTATTTCACTGTTGAGGAAACTGAGGGCCAGGCTACACCTAGTCCCCACAGCCAGGGACACAGTAGGGCAGGCTGGAGTTCCATCAAGGGTTTGGCCAGAGGTTGCCTACCAAGGGTCAGAGAACGCTCCTTGGAGCTGAAACCCCAGGGTCCCCGGGCCAAGGACAAGCCTGGCACAGATTAAGGACAAGAGAGTGTTGGAGAAGCCGTGCCTCATGGTCATGCTTTGGATATAGGCAGGCCAAGTTCAAGTCTCAGCTCCGCCACTTCCTGGCTGCATGGCCATGGGCAAGCGGCACCTCCTTTCCAGGCCTGTGCTCTGCACCTGTGCGTGGGTACACTGCACTTGGGAGGAGACCTGTCAGGCAGGGAAGGCATTCACAAAGTGCCTGGCACTCACGAATGCTCACAAAGAGCCAATGGGAACTGAGTCCCCTAAGGCACAGAGTTCCCACACCGCCCCAGGGAGCAGGTGCTCTGATCCTATTTGACAGGTGGCAAAAGAGCCACAGAGGGGAGGCGGCTTGTCCCTGAGCACACAGCCAGCAGGTGGCACAGCTGCTCCCTGAAGTCAGATAAATGAGAAGTCCTTCGGGACATTACAATTTACAAACTGTTGAAAAAGGATGAACCCAGACGGGGGTGGCTCAGTCTGTGCCTCCGGCGCTGGCCGCCCTCTGCGCTGCTGCATCTGCTGAGGCCTGGCCTGGAGCTCAGGGCACAGAAGGCCGACAGCCACTGGCAGCCCACAGGGAGGGCCTCTGCCTTCTGCGGTCACAGAGACCCAGACCTCACCCCAGCACAGCCCAGGGTGCAGGCTGAGGGAGGCTTCCCAGAGGAGGAGGTGTCCCAAAATGGAAGAAATGCAGTCTGGGATGAAGGGAGGGAAAAACCCAGGGCAGCAGGCAGGGAGCTGGAACCCCTCGCCCTCTGCTCAGCCTTGAAGAGCCGCCCACACTCCCCCAGGGCTTCCGCTCAGATGGACACACACACACACACGCACACGGCACACGCCCCTCAGCTCTGACACACACACACCACTCAGTTCCACCCCTGCACGCACATGCACACACACCTCTTAGCTCTGACACACACACACACACCCCCCTCAGCTCTGCCAAACACGCACATCACACACCCTCAGCTCTCCACACATGCACACACACACACGCACCCTCAGCTCCATCACGCACACACACACACCCCCCTCAGCTCTGCCAAACACGCACATCACACACCCTCAGCTCTCCACACATGCACACACACACACGCACCCTCAGCTCCATCACGCACACACACACACCCCCCTCAACTCTGCTGCACACACGCACACACACTCCTCAGATCCACCAACACACAGACACACACACACTCCTCACCGCTGCCCCCTCCACGCGCGCGCACTCCCTTCCATCCAGTTTCCCGGCGCTCGCGCGCCCCCTGCTGGTCACGCCGCGCCTGTGCAGGAGCGGGCGAGCCCTACCTGAGCTCCTCGCAGGCGTTGATGTAGGCGCCCAGGTGGGGCTCGCTCACCGCCTCTGACGCCAGAAAAACCTTTTCAAACCTAGGACGGGATCCACAGAGCCTTTGGGGACCCTCCCTGGCTGCGCGATGACCCTGGGTCCACCCTCCCAATCAGGTCCCTACGCAGACTCCTCCCTCCCACCTGCAGAGCACACCAGGCTGGGTCGCTCCCCTACTTAGGATGCGTCCGCACCTGGGCACGAAGAGGCCGAGGGCCCGCGTGCAGATTCGCAGGGTGGTGGCCTCCAGCTCCGCGGAGATGGCGCCGGCCGCCTTCACGTGCTCAGCCACGAGCTGCGAGCGAAGTCCTGCACTGAGCGTGCGTCCCAGCCGAAGACCTGAGGCCGCAGCTCCCCTGGTAGTCCCCCCACACCTCCAGCCCGCCCCGCTGTGTCTCTCAGTCTTGGCTCCTCCAGCTTTCAGCCGCCCATCCGAGAGTCAACTCCTGCAAACCCCCACCCTGCAGCCTCCCAGCCCGTCGGCGCGCCGGGGGTCCCCGATTTCCCCCCACGTGGGGCCTCAGGCTCCCATCTAACGGAAGGGTTGATTGGGACTGGATAGGAATTCGTTCTGGGTATCGCCACCGTGTGCGTGAGGCTTGAACACACGCCCCTTCTCAGCCCCTGCTCCCGGCCGCACCATGTGGACGTCCATGGAGAGCGGCGCCTGGTAAAGGCCCTGCAGCACCTCGGGGTCCTTGGCGGCCGCCCAGTGACTCTGCTCCAGCTGCAAGATGTTGTCGAAGCAGCTTGTGATCTTGGCCTGCGGGAGAAGGGATGGGGCCGCGGTGAGACCCTCCCGGACTGCGTCCCGCGCCGTCCGGGATTAGGGCCGCCCTGTCGGGTCACAAGCCCGCGCCGGGGGCCACAGGATGAACCAGCGCCAGCTCTGGCGGCGGCTAGCCTGGGCGCCGCACATCCCCCCAGGGCCCGCCCCCTCCAGCCTGGCCCGCCCGGCCTGACCTCCAGGAAGCTGGTGTAGTCGTTCTCCAGTCGGGCCCACACGTCGGGCGCCAGGAGCGGGGGCAGGGGCTCGGCGGGCAGCGCCAGGCCCGGGGGGCCCAGGAAGTCAGGACTGGAAGGCAGGGCAGGGGGCTGAGGGCGGGCGCGGCTCTGATGCGGCAGCAGCTGCCCCTCTTCTGGCCAGGCTCAAAGTCTAACGCTAATCCCGAACCTGGGCATCTGTACACACACACGCACACACGCACACACGCACACACGCCTCCAGGCTGCCATGCCACACACCCTCCCCGGAAGCCTCTGACAGCTGGGTTCCTGCTTTCCTGCACAATGCTGAAGGGCGGCTACCCAGATGGCACTCCGCCTTCTCCTCAAACACAGCTCAGGGGTCGGTCAACCTCCAATCCACAGCAGGGAGGCCCACAGCGGGGCGGACATAGGTCTGACCCCACACAATTTAAGGAGAAATTTAAGGAGTGCGGGACTTCAGGCAACCCCACCCCCCACCTCCGCGGGCGCTCCTGCCAGTGGGGCTGGGAACCGCTCCGCAGGGGACGCAATCCACCCTCATCCCAGGCGCAGAGCTAGAGGCAGCCGCTCCCCGCAGGCTGCACCCTGAACCCAGATGCCCGTCCAAAGGGGATAGCACGGGTGAACCCACGCCAAGCGCTGCGAACCCGCGGGAGTTGAGTCCGGTCTAGCGGGGTGCCCTTTTCGCTTTTCTTTTCTTTTTTCTTTTTCTTTTTTTTTTTTTTTTTTTTTGAGACTGAGTCTTGCTCTGTCGTCCAGGCTGGAGTGCAGTAGCGTGATCTCGGCTCACTGCAACCTCCGCCTCCCGAGTTCAAGTGATTCTCCTTCTCCTACCTCAGCCTCCAGAATAGCTGAGATTACAGGTGCATGGTGCATGCCACCATGTCTGGCTAATTTTTGTATTTTTGTAGAGATGGGGTTTCACCGTGTTGGCCAGGCTGATTTCGAACTCCTGACACGTGATCAGCCCCCTCAGCCTCCCAAACTGCTGGGATTACAGGCGTGAGTCACGGTGCCTGGCCAAGATGTGCCCTTTTCTGATGCGCCCAAAGGCACTTGGTGGACCAGCACAGGCCCTACTCCCATGGGAACCTCCCCGCGGAAACTTTTCAAATTCTGGAACTGTGTATGGGTGACCCCTAGAAAACCTGGGGCGGGAGCGCCCCACGGCCTAACCCGCCGAGGAAAGCATGTCGAAGCTCTCGGCTCTCAGCCCTCTCCCAGGGAGGGAACAGAGAAGAAAGGCCTGGTGCTCCTTAAAGTGGGCTCCCCAAGGCCTGCGGGGGAAGCGGCAGCCGTCCTCGCCACTTGGCGCCCTGGCCGAGGCTCACCTGCCATAGACGTTGGCGGCCCAGTCCAGCAGGACATAGAGCTGCTCGCAGCTGCGGGCGTCGCGCGCGAGTTCCTGGAGGCGCTGGGCCACCGCGCTGTGGAAGGCGCGCAGATAGACTTCCCACGCCGGAAAGCCGGCCGCCGCATAAGCGGGCTGCACCTCCTGCCGCACCTTCTGCAGATCGCGGCGAACCAATACGCCCAGCTCTGCCAGAAGCTGGGCCAGACCCGAGGCGCCCTCCGCCGCCGCAGAAGCCCGCCCCGCGCCCGGCCGCCGCACGCGCTCCTGAGCGCTCCGCCGCACCGCCTCCTCCCAGTGCTGGCGCCAGTGGCGCGGCGTGCGCAGGAAGTCGCCGTCGTCGGGGGGCGAGGGGTGGGCCTCCTCCTCTGCGTTCACCACGCGGGCCAGCTCGGCCAGCACGGCCGCGTCCACGCCGTCGCTGCCCAGCGTTTCGCGCACGATGGCGCTGAGCTCGGCTGCCAGCCCGTCGTAATGCAGGCACACGTCCATGGCGCGCCGAGCGAAGGCCGTGGGGTCCTGCTCAAAGGTGCGCGAGGCCTTCTCCGCCACCAGCCGTGTCTCCAGGCGCAGAAGCTGTTCGAAGGCCGCCAGCAGTTGCCGTTCAGTAATGAGGTCGGCCACGGATTTGCCTTCTGCACAGGCAGGCGAGAAGAGGAGCGGTGAGAGAGACCGCCCCGAGACCCCGACCTGGATGAAGACCTGCAGGCCGCGACTGAGTCCATCCGGGCTGGATTGCCTGGCCTCTACCAGATGCCCCAGCCCAGCTGAAGGCCTGCTCCAGGAACAACAGGCCCCAGCTACCAGGAACCCTTCCTTAGAGTCACCTTTGAAGAGGCAGACCCTGGGGCCCCAAGCCTGGCTGAACAGAGCAATTTGGGTCAACCCCTACCTTCCGCCTGGCTCCCACGCCACCTTCCACTCCCAGCTGAGCCCGACCTGACAGCCTCATGCTCAGTCCTGACTGCAGGTCTAATAGGGTCGGAGCTCAGGCGGGGCGTTTCCTGCCCTGTTCAGCTTTACATTCCTGCTGCTCCGGGCTCTCCACCAGCCTCCACCCAACAGGAGCTCTCCACCTCTACCGTGTCCCTCTCTTCCCAACCCCAGTGTATCCTCCTCTGGCCAATCCCCCTGACCTTCCCTCCGGGTACCTCTGCGAGCCTTGCACCCTCTGCAACCCTGTGATCAGCTATGTGCATGGCCCTAGTTTGGCCAGGAGCCAGGCTATGACCGGTCATGGAGAGGCTGGGTATCTAGGGCCGGCCATGCAGATCTGGGTTCAAGTCCCATTCTCCATGCTGTGAGACTTCAGGCAAGTCACTCCACCTCTCTGAGCCTCACTTTTCTCATCTGCCCAATGCGGGAGCTCCCATTGCAGAGATATTGCAAGAATTTAAAGTGCAATTGTCCAGCTGGGCATGGTGACTCACGCCTGTAATCCCAGCACTTCAGGAGGCCAAGGCAGGAGGATTGAGTGAGCTCAGGAGTTTGAGACCAGCCTGGACAAAATAGCAAGACCTTATCTCTACAAAAAATAAAAATAAATTTTAAAAATTAGGCCAGGCACAGTGGCTCCTGCCTGTAATCCCAACACTTTGGGAGGCCAAGGGGGCAGATCACGGGGTCAGGAGCTCAAGACCAGCCTGGTCAATATGGTGAAACCACGTCTCTACTAAAAATACAAAAAAAAAAAAAAAAAAAAAAAAATTTAGCCAGGTGTGGTGGTGGGCGCCTGTAGTCCTAGCGACTTGGGGGCCTGAGGCAGAAGAATCACTTGAACCAGAGAGGTGGAGTTTGCAGTGAGCCGAGACTGCATCACTGCACTCCAGCCTGGGCAACAGAGTGAGACTCAGTCTCAAAAAAAAGAAAAAAAAAAAAGAAAAAAAAATTTAGCCGGGTGCAGTGGCTCACACCTGTAGTCCCAGCTACTCAGGAAGCTGAGGTGGGAGGATCACTGCAGCCCAGGATGTCAAGGTCACAGTGAGCTGTAATTGTACCACTGCATGCCAGCCTGGGTGACAGAGTGGAGACCCTGTCTCAAATAAATAAATAAGTGCACGTGTCCGGGGCCGCGGTTTGGGGAGGCAGGGAGGAGAGCCTTTCCAGAAGCCTCAGCTCAGCTGCCCCAACCTCTCACCCATTTCCTTTCATATTTAGTGTTGTTTCTGAGGCCCTTACCTGCCTCGAGTTTCAGTTCCTCAGACGCTGCCCCAGTGGATGCCTGCTGGCTGACACCATTCATGACCCCCGAGGGCACCTCAGGAGTGGCCTGGAAATGGCCGGCGGCTGGGCCTTCATCCAGGGCTTGCCGGAAGGACCGGAACAGGGAGCAGGAGCTTCGCCGGAACAGGCCCGTATCCTCCTTGGAGACCTGGGTCAAAGCCCGTTGGCTGGCCCGGGAGAAGGCCTGCCTCAAGGTGCCCAGGCCCAGCCTTGTGCCATCCTTGCAGTGGGCATTGGGCTCTTTCCTGCTGCTTGTTCGCCGGGAGCCCTGAGCTGGAGTCTGCGACTCCTCAGCCTCCTTGGGACTTTGCAGCTCCAGCCCAGGAGTCTCTGTCTGTGGCGATGGCATCTTGGCAGCAGGAGAGCTGAGGGCAAGAAGGAGTGGCCACAGGAGCAGACGCAGAAACGTGGTGTGGCCCTGTGGGGCCTGGCCACACCCAGGGGCTTGGTCAAGGAAGGCTCTCCAGAGGAGGCAGCCCTCAGGCTGTCAAAAAGAAGCATCATCAGGCCACTCTCTTGGCGAGAGCCCTCAGTGTGCCAGGCTGCAGCTGGGCACGGAGATATAGACAGCTGCTTCCATCAGGAGCCTTTCCTGAGACCATCCCCCAAAGAAGGTCTCCCCAGGTGCCCACCATCACTTAGCCTGCCAGGCCAGATCCTCCCATTAGAATTGGAGAAGGGCATTGACATGCAGGTTCTGGGGCCCAGTCCAGACCACAGCTCATAACACGCGAGGGCAGGACCAGCAGCCACATCTAGACCTTCCCAGATGTTAGGTCCTGAGGCCTAAAACCCTCCCCCCAGCCCCCACCAGCTCCTTCACTGCCCTCCAGGTCCCTCAGCTCACCCCACTTCAGCCCAAAAGGCCTGACTACTTTGGCTCCAAGGGGAGGGCAGGGACCCCCATGAGAGCCCACCCCTTCCCCGGGTGTCGCAGAGTCTGCTGAGGTGGTGTGGGGCCTGAGGGCAGTGGCCAAGGCCACTCTGCTGCTTATCATGGCTGTGCAGCCGCAGGGCCGGCAGCAGGAGGAGCCTCGGGTCTATATTTAACCAGGGACTAGGGGGTTCTCAACACTGTTTCCCACCCATTGCCTCTCCCCCTCCCCCCATTCCTCCTCCTCTTCACCGTAGTGTGCTCTGGCCCCTCCCCAACACAGGGAATGGAGGGAGTGTCCCAGGGACACGGGAGTGGCTGAGCTGTGGCTGCTCCTGCTCCCCCAGGACCCTCAGCACCCTGGCCTGCCAGGCTCCACCCACACCCCCTTCCAGCCTTAGGAGCTTTTGCTTTCCTGGCTTTAGGTTGGGAGAGAGGAGGGGGCCTCCCACCCACCCCATTACACAAGCTGGGCCATGGGTTGGGGAGGGCATTAGGCTGGCAAAGCCTCACTTTCCCCTGGGAGAAACTGGGGCCAAAGAAGGGCTGAACCTGCCCCTAGCCCAGCCCCAGGGCCCCCGACCCAGGTGCCAGGACCAAAGCCCCCGCCTGACCCACCACCCAACCCTTGGGTGACATCAGGCAGGAAGTGTGCCTCCCCAGGCCCCAGTTTGCTGGGGTGGAATGACACCAAGGTGGGCAGGGCCCAGACCCCCACCCACCCTCGCCCTCCAGCAAGGTGCCTGCTGGGTCCAGCAGAGGCCTACCCACCTACCTTCCTTGAGGTTCCTGGAGGCAGCTAAGCAGCTGGATGGAGGCTGGGGTGGGAGAGACACGGAGGCAGCTAAGCAGCTGGATGGAGGCTGGGATAGGAGAGACACGGAGGCGGCTAAGCAGCTGGATGGAGGCTGGGATAGGAGAGACACGGAGGTGGCTAAGCAGCTGGATGGAGGTGGGGTGGGAGAGGCAGCCAGGTGATTGATGGGGCTTCTCAGCCCCGCCCTGGCCACAGGTTGGCTACTTCCCCCAGCGCCAAGGTTCAGGGACGCTGCCTGATTCGGATGTGACCCACACACTTCAGGGCGCCATCTGTCCCAGCCTCCATTCCCCTCTCCCTGGTGTCCCTCCATGCTTGGCATGGGGGCTGGCGCCCAGCCGGACAGGGGTGTTGGCACATGCCACATCCACCCCTATCAAGGGGACGGAGGCCGGGATGTGGGGCAAGGACAAGTCAAGCCCTGCCTTCTTGTTTGGGAGAGCTCACACTTAGTAAGCACCTACTGTGTGCCCACCTCGATGCCTGACACAGATCAGCTACTGTGACAACAAAGTTAGGGGGTGTCATTTGCCCATTTCACAGACGAGGAACCTGAGGCCCACAGAGGGACAGAGTCTGCCCCTGGCCGCATAGCTCAGGCTGGGGAACCTGCCTGGAGCTGGGAGCAGAGGCAGGACCGGCCGTGTCTCCACCTCCAGGGAATCAGAACTGCTGCCCAGAAGCCCCCCTCCCAGCGAGGAGACCCCAGGTGTCAGCAGGTCCCAGAGTGGGGTCAGATGTGGAGGTCCTCTCCCAGGAAGCCTAGAGGAAGGCCAGGTAAGGAGGGGCAGCTGTGGGAGTGAATCTCTTAGGAGGTTACATAGGCAGAGGCGTGGGGGCCACTCAGCCTGCTTTTGTCCCAAACCAGAACTTCGCTGAAGGGCCAGTGAGGTCCCTAGATGGCCTCTCAGCCTCCAGCCATGCCTCATTTGACCCTGCAGCTCCCAACAGCTTCCCAAGCCATTCTTGACCTTCCCAAAGCAAAAGTCCAGCCAGGTCACTCCCCTGCTTTAAGCCCTTCCATGGTTCCCTCCTGCCCGAGCCCCACAGCCAGGCATCCATCCTGGAACCTCCTTCCTCCACCTCTACCTCTCGCTGATGACACCTCACCAGCTTCCCCTGGGGTTCACGGACAACCTGCATCCCACCCAGCCTTCTCTCTGTCCTCCCAGCTGCACGCCCAGCCTCCGGCTTCCCCTCCGGCCATTCCCTTTCCTGCACCCTGTTTGTTCGCCAAATCTGACCTGGGTTTCAGGACCTCAGGGTTCAGATGCCTCGCACCACCTGCCGTCACCATTTATCCGCTCAGTGGGCACTCGGCATTGTCCCTGTGATGATGTGGCCCTCCTGCACTGGCCTGGCAGCCTCTGTCCATCTACCCCTGTCACCCCAGAGCACAGCCTGGAAGCAGGGGGAACATCGGTGTCAAGGTCGCCCTGCCTCCTCCGACTGGCCTGCCTGCTGCCATGCTGGCGCCTGCTGGGCTGAGACCTGAAGGCCCCTCTCAGCTCCCTCCTCCACCCCCAAGTCTCTCGCCTGGCCTCTCCCTGTGCCTGCCTCCACACACCCCCCTGGACTGTCTCTGGCTCTCTTTTCTCTCTGTCCCCAGTGCCTGGAGGGTCCAGGGGGCCCCAGCTCCTATGCTGCCGCTCCCTGATTGTAAGACCCTGGAGACTGAGGCCCGGCCTGAGCCCCGGGTCCCACTCTCCCCAGGTCAGGCTAATACCCCCTTTGTGGGGCCAGCAGCAGGGGCAAGAAACCACCCAGAGACACAGTCACTGAGACCTCCCACCCTGGGCCACCCTAGCTATGACCGAGAAGTCAAGTCTGAACTTCCCCACCCTCCCTACCCCCAGCCTCAGCTTCTACTCCCCGCTTTCCCCTAGACCTTCCTTCCCGTAGCTGCTCCTCATCCTCCCGATCACTCTGCAGTGCTCACCCACCCCCCAGCCTCCCCACCTACGCTGGGACTGGGCCATCGCTCCACTCCTCAGCGCTCCAAAGGAGCCTCTGCAGGTGACTGCCTGTACTGTGCCCTGGGCTGAAGCCCTGTGCGGGGCTTGTCCCTTCTCACTTCCACGCCTGCAATCCACCTTCACCTGATCACAGCCTCCGAGCTGCTCTCCTTTCCAGGCCCCCTCGATGCTGCCTCCTAGGATCAGTCATAAGAATCTTGCCTAGCAGTTACAGCGGTCGTCGGCCAACCTCCCCAACAGCACTTGGGTTTTCCTGTTGAGAGGTGGGACTGAGGGACAGGACTAACTGGATTTCCTAGTCCGACTAAGAATCCCTAAGCCCAGCTGGGAAGGTGACTGCATCCACCTTTAAATACAGGGCTTGCAACTTAGCTCACACCTGACCAATCAAGTAGTAAAGAGAGCTCACAAAAATGCTAATTAGGCAAAAAGAGGAGGTAAAGAAATAGCCAATCATCTATCGCCTGAGAGCACAGCGGGAGGGACAATGATCAGGATATAAACCCAGGCACGTGTAAAACCGGGTTTTGAAAGCTTTCCTTGTAAGCTTTCCTTTTCCTTCCAGCCCCTGCAAATAAGGAAAATGACAAGGATGTTTGTTCTCACCACTCTGAATCCTCAACATTTGCCTGGAAGAACAAGTTAAGGCAATAAGGAAAGAAAAATAGATAAGAGATGTAAACACTGGGAAGGAGCAGATTAAATTGCCATTATTCATAGGTGATATGATTGTTGGCTTAGAAAATCTGAGACTGAAAATTATTGGAGATAATAAAAGGGTTTAGTAAGTTTTGTGCATTGATTATGTAAATACAAGCAATACCTTTCCTGTACCCCAGCAAAGCCTATTAGAAAGAGACACTTAAAAGACTTCCCTTCACAGTAGCAACAAAGCATAAGCCCCCTGGGCCACCGCTGCCCTCAGAAGCAGCACAGCTCCATCCTTAGCTTGGCATTCAAGGCCTCTCCTAATGACCCCTCTGGCTTCAGTTCCAACTTATTCCCTCGCTCTGATCACTCAGAAGCACCCACCTCTCCTCCACACCTTTGCACTCTGCCTACAGTGAGCTCAGCCCCTTCTTCTTCAGCTGTCAACTCATTGAAGGCTCGCAGAAATGGCTCCTCCCGTGAGAAGCCTTCCCCGACCAGCTGAGCCCATACCATGTTTGGCACCTCCTGCTCTGGGCCTGATCCCAGCCCTGGGCACACCTGCCATGACGGAGGGACAGTTACAGAGCCTGGAGACAAGGAGACTCGCAAGGCAGGGAGTGAGCCTGACTCAGCCCCCAGCCATGGCTAGTACTCGGCACTTTCCCAGGGAAACCAGGCAAGTGAATCTGACGCCTGAGCGTGAGTGCACGGGTATATGCACACTTTTCTGGGCATCGGTTTTGCACATCTGTGTGTTGACCTGAGAGTGTCTCCCTGTATGTGCGTGACTCTGCCCTGGAGTGTCCCCAGAGGGCCTGCCAGTGCTTCTGAGTCTGTGTCTGTGCCCGCATGCCCATCTTGGTGTCTTCTGTGTCTGTCTATCTGTGCTTCTGCCTGAGCGTGTCTGCCTGTGTATCGGGTGTGTTTGTGTCCACTGTGACTTGCGCTGGCCCTCTGGCCTGGTCAGCCCGGGCTCTGAGTAAGGCCCTTGGCCTGGAAGGCCACATGCAGAGCCAAAATGGTCCTCAAGCCCATGAGTCGCCACCCCCGCCCGCCCATAGCACCCCATGCCTTCCTGCTCCACTTGGCCAGAACATACCT